CCCGCGACCACAGCCCGCTGGGGGCCGGGCCGCTCCAAGCCCCGAGACGCCCCTCGGACGCCCCTCCCGGCTGCGCTGCCCGGGGCTGGCCCGGCTCCGCGAGGGCCACCCCGGATTAGGCTGAAGAAAGGAGAAGGGAACTGTCCCCAGGCAGCTCCGGAGGGGCTTCGGGCGGGGTCACAGCCGACGGCTGGCCCCCGGGCTCCGCGCCGGAGCGGCGGGAAAGGCTGAAGCGGGGGGGGCGGGGAGGTGAGAGGGAAGAGCCGAAACGGGAAAAATCCGTCGGGGGCGCGCAGAAGCGCGCGTAGCCCGGTCGCTGGATCGATCGTGGCCGCTGCGGAGCTGGAGCTCGGGGACCAACGCCTGCCCAAGCAGCCAGGAAACTGCCGCTTTCAAACCCGCCGCAACCTCCTCCTCCTCCCTCTTCCCTTCCCCCCCGCCCTCGCCCATCCCTCATCCAGGGCCCCGCCCCCTCCCGCCGCGCGGCGCCCGGCGCGCTGCCGTCACCGGCCAGGCGCTTGGGAACGAGCCCCAGCACCCGACTCCCTCGCCGGGGATTGGCCCCCGGCGGGAAGGGGGCGGACCCTCGGCGAGAATAAGAACCACCGATTGGTTGGTGGGAGTGGAGGAGGCGGCCACTAGGATGACTGAAGTGTAAAGAGGGTGGAAAAAAGAAGTTTGAAGAGTGAGGGGGGCGAGAGGAGGGGCAGGGAAGTGGAACCCGCTCCAGATCGCAGGGCGACAGAAGCCCTCGATGCAGCGGCTGGAGCCAGGAGAAAACTCAGATAGGAAGAACGACCGAACTCCTCGAGGTGGAGGCGTGGCTGGCGAGCCGGGCGGAGTCGGGGGCGGAGCCTGGGACCTGGGCGGGGCGCCGAGAGGAGCGGGTGTGCTTTGGAGGAGAGACGACGTGCTGAGACCGCGGCCGGAGGTGGCGGGGCCTCCAGGGTGGCCTGTTACAGCCGATCATATACACTGAGTCGATGTTTCTTGTTCATTTATTCAACAAATGTTACTGAACGCCCATTGAGGCAGGGACTCCGGGGTGCGATCGATGGAAGGTAAAATAGAGTCCTGCACACTACTGTGTGACCTCGGGCAAATTAGACAACCTCTCTGAGCCGCAGCATTCTCAGCTGAGAGTGGAGATAATTATACCCCTCCAAGTTGTGAGGATTCCTTGAGATCCAGGTAAAATATCTGCAGAGTGCCTGGCGGATGCTTCTTGTCATTTGGTAGCTGAGGATGGTGACGAAGACTTCATGTCAGAAATTGTGCTAGATACTGGGGTTCAAGGATGAAGAAAACAGGCCCTGCTCTCAAGGAAGTCACAGTCTAGTGGGAGAGACTGACAAGTAAGCAGACGACCTGAGGTGAGGTAGGGTGGGGTGGAGGTAGAAGGTGGATTAGGAACTAGCCCACCTGGGTTGGAGTCCTGGCATGCTATTTACTTGCTGTTTGACAGTTGCCAAATCTCAGCTTCAAGTTTACTCATCTGTAAAGGAGGTGGAGGGAGAACTAACATTGAATAAGGACATCTTAGGTCCCTTCCAGCACTAGTTTTTCAGGAACTCTTCTTGAGCTTTCTCTCCTCCCTGGCTTGACTCATACTCACCCCTGTCTTTGTCTTTTAAAAATCCTATCCATCCTCAGCCCAAATGCCATCTCTTCTGATTTCTTGTCCTCGGGTGGAAAGTGATTTCTCCGAGCTGTGAGACTTTGTTTCACTTTTGCAGCATGACACTTATTTATGTAGCCTCCTTTCCTGGTTGGGGAAAGCCCTTCTTGAAACTATGAATAACTCCACAGAGTCTCACCACATCTCAGATAGTCTGGACCAAGCTTCAACAGCTGCAGTGATTTGCTCACACCATTGTATCAGTCAGGACCTAGCAGGAAACAAATGGTACTTTGCAAAGATATGGGCAGGGTGTGGGGAACCACAAGGGAAGTGTGAAACCCTGGGGCTACAAGCTCCAAGATCTGTAGAAGGAAAGGGAAGGAACAGTTACCAAAACTCAGCACAGAAAGAGCAGCCTGACAGGAGCCTGTGACCCCCAGTCAAAGGATATAGTCAGCCTAAGTAATCACCCAGGGAAGAAGCTGGGGGATTTCTCTCTCTCTCACCTCCCTCCTCAGTCTCCTGCTGGTGCATCCGCAAGGCCAAATCCAACCAGAAGCCGGGGGACGAGAAAGCCTTTTGATGCGTCTATATCAGCCAGTCACACAGAGAAAAGGAACAGTGTGTCTGGGGAAAAAAGGGGGAAATACCCAGCACAGACATGTGGATTGCTCAGTTTACCCAGATCTGAGATAAAGCTGGAGTATTTTTTTCTGAACTACTACCTACACTAACGGATGCCTGGATGAAATCTTGATAACCTCCACATTGTCTATTTTCACAGCAACTCTGGGAAAACATCTTTCCCTGCCCAGACTGTATCCATTAGGATGCATTTGGCCACAAGCAACAGAAGATCTGACTAACAGTAGCTTAAAGCATGAGGTCATTTATTACATCTTTAACATGAAGTTCAGCTGTAGGTAGTCTCAGGATTAGTTCAGCAGCACAGTCATGTCAGTAAGGACTCAAGCTCTTTTTATGTTTGCTCTCTACCACCATATGCATGTTGGCTTTTGTCTCCGCGCTTGTCATCTCTTGATTACAATGTGGCTGCCACAGCTCCAGACTTCACATCCTCAGAGGTCATTGTACAAGGAGGAAGGGATGGAAAGGCAGTGCTGCTCCCATTTTTATAAAGGAGAAAAATCTTTCCCACACTGCCATCTCCCCCAGTAGATTTTCCCTTATTGGCCAAAAAATGGTCACATGCCCACTGCAGACCAAAAGAAAATGGGATTGCCACAGTTCATTAACCTGAGCATGAGTCACTCCCAAACGAAATAGGGGTTCTGTTTGAGAGGAGAAAGGGGGAATAGTTGTGACATAGGCACCCAGCAGTGTCTGCCACATGGCCTCAACCAAGAATAAGTTATTGACTCTTGGGCAGAAAACTGCATGATTAGGTGCTTGAGCTCTGGAGGCAAACGGCAAATCCCAGTTTTTCTACTCATTGGCTCCGACCTTGAGTAAACTATTTAACTTTACCTAATCTCTATTTCCTTTTCTACAAGATGGATATAATAACAGTGCTCACCTGAGTGGTTATGAGAACAGAATGGAGCTCTTTGAGTCAAGCAAGCACTTAGCAAACGGTTTGGCATATAAGCAAACACTAAATAAATTATTATTTTAGTTTATGCTAAATAGTAATATTTGTGACAAGGCTAAAAGCATTGCTAATCACCTTTATAATTCTCTAAGTATTAAATTCACCGATCTTAGTAAGCTTAGCTTCCGTTTAAAAAATATCCTAGACCCGGGTGCGCATCGAGGCACCACTTCTCCGTCCATCCTGAGGCCGAGTCCCACATACAGCAACTAGAAGGATGTGCAGCTATGACATGCAGCTATCTAGTGGGGCTTTGGGGGGAAAAATTAAATAAATAAAATCTTTAAAATAAATAAATAAATAAAAAATATCCTAGAAATAAGCTACTCACCCCAGCAATTCATTCTAGTAGTATACTATTATAGAAATTACTTCATAATTAAAGGAGTCACATTATAAGCTTCTATCTCTAAAATGGCACCTATCCAAATAATCAGATTGTGTCTGTGTTGATCACTGCTCGCAAACCTAACTGTTGGCTTAATAGTTGTGATTTCCATTGGGAATATTAATAAGCCAAACAATATGGAACCTGGGTTAACAAAAATAAATGAGACAGTTGAATTTGATGATCTCCAATGTTTCTTTGGTCTACCTCTATCTATCTAACTATAGAGATAAACATCGATATGTTTCAATATGCATACTGCATGAGTTAGGTCCCAAGATGGCTGCAGGGCTCCATGTAACACAAGTATCACAACACTGTCCAAAGACTGAAAGGAAGAAAGAGGATGTCTTCTTTCCTTATTTCCTTTTTGTAGCTCAAGGAAACCTTTCCCAAAGGCTCCCAGCAAGACTTCTCCTCCAGCTCATTGGCCAGAATTGCCCAAATGTCCTTTCCTAAACCAAAGATTCGAAGAGTAAGGAAATAACCTTATCTAGTTCACCCTCTGGTGCTCAGAAGGGGATCCAGCGTCTTGTAAACTGCATAACTATAGGATGTCTGAATAGAACTTGGAGGGTCTCTTAGCAAATATGAAGAGGGAAGATGGGCTTTTAGGCAAGCAATCCACAGTCTCTTCCACAAATATACTACATTGATTTGCTTCTGATATATATATATTTTTGGCAAGGTGGGAGGTTTGTTTCGTTTTGCAATATTGTGCTGAGTTTACCTTACGAGAATTAAATAAACTCTTTAAGTAGAAAACTGCAGAAAGGCAAATCTAAATTGCCAAGTTTTCTGAAATGACCCACGCTTAGTTACTTCTTTGTACAATCAGAGATGCCTTGTATGATGGTGCGGTTTGTGCACTGGACAACTCCAGGGGCATCACTCACATCAGAGTCTATGTAAGTAGTGCCCCTGGAGTTGTATGTGGCTCTGTGCCAAAGCAAGGCAAGTGTAGGGAGAAATGTTAGATTTCGTTTATTTTTATATTCTCACTAGTTTCTTTCATGGAAACCTGAATTTCTAGTAACAATAAATCAAATTATTATTTAGATGAAGTCGTTCTCAAGCATTAAGGTGGCAGAGGGTGGCGGAGAAGTGGACAGATAAAACAAATATTTGCCTTCTGTACAGAATACAAGAACATTTATCCTGTTTTTATTCCCATAAATTATTATAATATAATCATCTTGAATTTTAAAAATTCTGATCCACAAAATCTTTCGTTGGCTTAGAAAATGTTCATATTTACC